GAATTAAATATTTTCTACTTGGAATTGGACTTAGGGATCCCGACCTTAACCAATAAATACCCCCCCAAACGTGATTATTGAGAGGCTAGTCAATTTTGGAGGCGAAAAAAGGCAAAGAAACACAAAAGGAGCACGGAATTTATCGATTTTTCCATATTTCATCTAGTATTCATAGCTTTTATGTTTAAAATAATATTTTGATTATTGTCATGAACATGAGTGGCTAAGTACCTCATTATTTTTGGGCTATGAGTCGTTATTGACTATTGTAATTTGATGGTTGATTGTTTTGCTTGACTTAGCATATGAATTTGTTTATTCAGTCTTGTACTTAATTATTCTATTGCATAGCTAGCAATAAATTACTATCTACGAATTTATAATTGAACTCGAAAGTGAAAACTATAGATTGCATATAAGATTGAATAGAGTAAGTTCTTGAATCCGGGCATTGGAGAACGGATTCACGATTAGGATAAATATATTCTAGTTGCCTTGGTTACTTTTGCAGGAAATACACATGCATTCACATTAATTCTAATTTTGTATACATATAATCTTAGGTTGTCTAGAAAAGGCGAGTGAAGCGTCGAAAGAACTTCACGAGTAAAACAAACCATGTTAATTAACAAATAAGATAAATCAAGTGATTAAATCAATATGAGAATGCAATAAGAGAGACATTAATCCCATAACCCCAGAATATTCACATCTCATTGAATTCTTTCTATGTGTTTGTTTGTTTGTTTTGCACCTTTAATTGTTAGCTTGTTTAGTAATTTCGTATTAATTTTTAGCCATAAAAATCAAAATCACCTTCTTCACAACCACTTAAGTAATAAATTTATAAATAGTTTAGATTGGACAATAGTGATGATAAATCCTAGTGGAAACGATACTTTCTCATCACTTTATTATTTGTCGATCGCGTATACTTGTGTGTACGTTTGTACCCAACAATTGATTATTGTAATGTGATATTGATGCACATGCGGCGGTATATGAATAGGAGTTGATGTGCATACGGTAATATAAGGTGAGATTTATACGCGTGTTGCTAGCAAGGGAATTACTTGAAGCCACATGGTGAGATAAGAGGGCTAAAACGCGTGTAGCTATTTCGGAAAAGATGTTTTTAAAAATAAATGCAAGGCTCACCCGACGACATAAGAAAGATTGTGATTGTGACTTGTGAAATGTGATTTTGAGGCATGGTACCTCGGTTGTGATTCTTATTGTACATTCTATATTGGAACGACTCGTTGATTGGATGGTTATTGTTTTTCCTTAAAATATTTCACTTTATTTTGATTGTATTTGTTTCTTTGTTGATATTCTTGTGTTGGAACCATTGTGACTTCTTGTGCGAGTTATGCATTCAATGTGATTTGTTGTGTTTCTTTAATATGCCAATTTGTGCCTCAGTTGTTACTTGGTAAATCGATTGTCAAGATAAATTTACTTGCGTGGAGTCATTATCGCATATTCTATTGAGTTGTTGGTAGCATAATGACTTTAAATAAAAGAATTATTAATATGCTTTATTTTATGTGACTCTTAATATAGAACTCATTATCTCTCTCGATGCTTTACTATTTTTAAATGGTTATCATATTTTACCTTAATTGAGTTCTCAAATTAAATTCACTACCCCATTTGATGTTTTACTTTACCTAAAATTGTTATCACGCTTTACGTTAATAAATTGTATATTTAATTCATTAACTCATTTGATATTTTACTTTATTTTTAAAACGTTATTTCACTTTGCCTGATTGATTTCTAAACTAAACTCATTTGATATTCTATTTTTGTATAAATTATACTTTATTTTACTTTATCTAATTTTAAAATAAACTCATTATCTCACGCCTTACTTTATTCAAGATTGTTTTTATGCCTTATTGTATTTAAATAAATCTCTCGAACATTTTATTTGGTATTTGACATGGATACAATGAACATGGTTGCACATGAACTTTGCCATGCGAAGGTGACTGATAATTTGGGCACGATATGCCATGTGTGTATGATTCGGAATTGTGGCTTATGATATATGATTATGAGGTGTGGTGCCCCGGGGTAATTCTTGTTGTAAGTCATGTTTTGAGAAGGATTTGGTTACTTGAACAGTCATTTGCTCCCTTAATTGAGTTCATTCATATTTCATCTGCATTATGATTATGTTGTCGCTTTATTACTCGTCTACTTCTTGCTGCCATTTGTGTTTCTATTATTCCATTATTGATTGTATATCAATAATATTTCCAATGTTAGCCTTACATTGATGTTATTTCCATTGTTAGCTTTATGTTAATATCTTGTTTAAGTTTCTATGTCTAGTAGATGTCTTAACCTGGCCTCGTCACTACTCTAATAAGGTTAGACTTGATACTTATTGGGTACCGTTATGGTGTACTCATGCTACACTTCTGCATTTTTTTTGCAGATCCAGGTACTTCGAATCGTGTTGGATTTAAGAGTTGTGTCTGCGCGGTTGGAGACTTCAAGATATACTTATCGTTTCATTCGCAGACCTCGGAGTCACCTCCTGATATTATCTTTGCTACTATTTATCTTCGTTCCAAAGCAGTATTGTAGATTCTAGTGTATCTCAGTATAGCTTATGACTCTGTACTACCGGTTTTGAGGATTGTATAACTATTGTTCGGCTTTACTTACGTTATTTTATTTATCAGTTTACTTCTTATATAGTTGAATTGGTTATTTCTGTTAGATCTCTTCATGAATTAGGCTTGCCTAATCTTAGAAACTAGGTGCCATCATGACATCCTAAAGTGAAAATTTGGGATCGTGACAGTTCACAAGTTTGACTGGGGGTTGACTTTGGGGCTACCTGGGGGTTATTGTTCTGGGAATTGGAATAGGTCATTTCATCATTTGGTATTTGTATGCAAAATTCGAGTTCATTCTGGATTGGTTAGGCTTGAATCGGATGCTTGGTTTGAAATTGAAAGATTGAACTTAAGATATTGTTCTTCATCGACGATTCTTTGTTTTGATGTTATTTTTAGTATTTTTAGCCTTTGGATAAGTTTGGAATATGTATTTATATTGGTTGGTATAATTAGACTGGGTCTTGTAGGGCTCGGGTCATTTTTGGGAGTGGTTTATTGCTATTTCGGAGTTTGCATTAATTGTTGGTTCTGGTACACCGCATCTGCGGAGGATTGGTCGTAGATGCGAAGTCGCACTTACACATGAGGTATTCAACTATTTTATTCATTGCTTATTGATGATATTCCATTTGAGTTGTGTTATTTGTTTTTTGGCTTACCTAGCGAGTTGAATTAAGTGTCATCATGGCTTGGCGGAATTTGGATCGTGACAAATTGTGCAAGTGCATTTTTTTAGTTTTGTCTGTTACTAAAAAAATTATTGATACTAACATTTTTTATTTTAATTTTTTATTCTGATCGATCGTCTCTTTCATTATTCAATCTTATTAATTTGTATGCTTGATTAATGATACTTTTTTTTTCAATTAGATTTATTTGTTATATAGTAAGTCTATGAACCCAAATTTAAAACTGAGAAATAGTACATGATATTAAAAAAAAGTCAAGAAAGATACGAACGTTGAGAATATAAAGGTGTAAAATAAGCATTTTAAAAAACGCAATTGAGATAGGAGGGGAATAATGGTGCTATTTGTACATCATGACCCTTTACAATTTTGAATTTAAGAAAATGACTCTTTTAAATCTCTTATGTGTAAAAGACAAATTTCTTACGTGTAAAAGTAAATCTCTCATGTGTAAAAAAAAAATAGGCTCATAAAACTAAAAACAAGTTTGTAAAAAGTCAAAAAACCAATTGTCTATTATTCAAATTTGGAGCGAGGGTTTATGTATTAAAGCAAAGTTCGAGATTATAAATTATTTTCACCCATTTTCTTTTTCCTTGCTCATAAATACTATTACTTGTAATAATATGACATTATTTGTTAGCAACAATTGACGGAAAGCATAAACGTTTTAACGTGGTTTATAGACGCGTGAATTAATTTGACCCAGAAATATGAAATAAACAAGAAAAGAAGTAAGATTATGAATTAAATTTAAAGAAAATACAAGTCTGACTATGAACTTAGCCTCTCCGTTAACAGAAGTGAGAACAATATTCAAGAATAAAGATGAAAAATAGTATTATGAGATGAGAGCTGACTTAAGCTTTTGTGTACCGAATATTTTGTGTCCACAATGGATGCTAATTCTCCTATTTATAGCTTTATTTTGGGAGACAAGATCTCCTAATCAAGCTCCTCTTAAATGAGAATAAAACCGTCACTGATGAATGCATAACAATTGGTTATAAATGCAAATATTCTCTGTAACGGCTGCTCATTAAATGCTAATCGATGTCCATTCTTTGAATCTTTATCATCGGCTACACTGTCTTCGGGATTCATCTAACATCGGTCACTTGCTTGCAAACTGGTATTTACTATTTGCTGACTCACGTCCTACTTATCTTCAGTTCCATGTGTCACCTCTTTATTCCTCCAACTGGCATTAACTAATTTTACCACATACAGTTTCTAATTATGAATAATATTTACTTCTAATTCTGATCACTATATGATGAGCCTTTCCAATTGAAATGACTCCTCATTGCGAGGCAATGCTTATTTTTTGCATATGTATTTAATTAGTGCTTAAACATTTTATTTTCCAACTTCTTTAGTACTTTTCCCCGACTTACTTTAATTGGGTATAGTTGATATTGTTGTATGACTAACATTATATAATTTTTTATATTATAAACTATATTATAACTTTTAATTACTAAATTTAATCAAAGAATATTTGATCGCACCTATTAACTAGTTACTAAAATATTCAAAAGGAAAGCTTTCATGGACGCAAAACTGCACTTTTGACCCCTCTTTTTTNATAATTCACAAACCCAAATTATGATATACTCATATATGCGTACAATTCCAACAAAGAACCGATATGAAGTTGGACAGACGGCAATTCATCAATTATGGATTTGACTGTTTCACTCAATAAATTGCATCTCCTAATGGTCAATAACTGGAAAATACTAGTAATAGAAAGACTTAATACAATGTCTTATTTTTGAAAGTATATAGGTAATGTCGACAATGAGAGGCAAACTACAAAGGTACTTGGCACAAGATAAGAGTATATAACTATATGATCGACTATCAAGTTAGTCATTGCCTCTTCTCATATGACGTTGGGGAAAATTGATAGTGGCATCTTGACGACGTGATCTAAAGATCCCGTTAAAACAATTTCACCAAAAGTAAATTCATCAAGAGGTTGGGTGACATTGAGTGTAATGTGCAAATGTTGGGTTTCTTGTGGAGCTATTTTAAACCAAGATGGTTGTATATCAACCATCACTCCTTTCGGTGCCAACACTGCACTAACATACGTCTCTGCTTTGCTTCCAACATTCATGACTGTCCGACGTACTAGTCGCGATCCATTAAGGGATGTTATTGTAATCGAAGGCAAATTTAGGTCCGATGGATTGACAAATAACTCACCACAAACTCCTCCTGTTGCACTTTTGACTATTGCAGTATCAATATTTGGTAAAGAACACAGGAAACTGATGTAATCCTCGTACCCTGTCTCAATAAGAATAAATAAATGAGATGAAAGATTAGCACTTTTGGTAACTCAACTTAGAATTTGTCATGTCAAAATGTTCCTTAAAAAAAAACCATCAACTTCAAATTGTTTACGTTCTAACTAATAAGACAACATAATTATTTCTGTAATATTTGATCCCTCATCTTCAGCCAATTAGTGGTTGTGAATTGTAATTTTCTTTTGCAAATTAGTACTTAGAATCTGTATTGTCCTTTTCTATCTTGAGCAGCTTCGCTCGTACCATCCCTGTCTGTTATCATGACTATTGACGAAACTTCCGCAGTCAAGACCTCAGCCCCAACCAGCCATGGCGTGATCAATCATATCACTCAAGGTGGACAGTTGGTCACCATTAATCCAGCCACTGCTCATGCAGCTTGGACGAAACTTGCTCAACAATACGCAAATAAGTGCCAATCACAAGTCTATAGATTTCAAAACTCTCTTGCTCGCCTTACCAGGTCAATAGCTCAATATCTCAATGAGATCCACACTATTGATGAACTAGCCATTGCTGATTTGAGAACAGAAGCACCTCTAGCTCAAGGCCCGAATAAAGCTCAAGCGGGGCATTTGCATCTATACCCGCTTTTTGTGTCACGTTTTAACTTGTGCCTGCTTTGTAAAAAAAATTGCAAGCGTACCCGTTTTTCGCATAACTTTAGCATACGGGGCTGAAGTAGCAAAGACAATCACGCAAAACTTCAGCATTCTAGTAGCCGGGCCTGAAGAGTTTTTGTTTTGTAACTGACGAACTTCAGCTCTAGAGCTGAAGGTTTTGTTTGTAGAGCTGAAGTTTTTATTTTGTAACTGGCGAACTTCAGCTCTAGAGCTGAAGCACCACAATTAGCAGTGATTTTTTAAGAAAAATAGTGTACATCTTCTCAACTCAAACACGAATAAACATACAAAAACTCCAAAATTTTAAAGCTCATCTTACTGGTAACTTAAACTTTTTCCTAAGACTAATTTGCTGTAAATTTGGAGCAGAAGTACAACTGCCGAACTGTTCAATTAAAAAAAATTGACCTTATAACTAAAGCACCGTTGCTTCTGGAGATAAATACCAGTTTGTTTTGTAACTTGAAGAAGAAAACGAAGGAGGAGAAGGAGGAGGAGAAAGGGGGCTGGAGTTATTTAAAAAGTGGGTACATGTTAAAAGTTTAAAAAAAATGGGTATAGGTTAAACGGGGGCGATCAAATAGGGCGCCCCGTGCAATTTTTACAGCTCAAGCTTAGAAATGGACTGGATCCTCACCACATGCAGCCTACCTTGCTTATACATCCACTCGTCCTTCATTTACACTTTGGCATCGTCGTCTCAGACATCCTAATTTAAAAATTCTGAAGTTTGTTATTTCACAATTTTGATTACTAGTTTTCGATTTCTATCAAGATCATTGTAACTCATGTCTTTGTAATAAAAGACATCGTTTGCCATTCAATCAATCTACAATAAGAAGTTCAAGACCATTAGAACTTTAATATACTCATGTATGGGGATCCTATCCCGTCAATTCCACCGAAAGGTATCACTACTATGCCATCTTTCTTCATCACTTCACAAAATATACATGGATTTTCTCATTGAAAAAGAAATCTAATGTTGTCTCCATCCTTGCTGCCTTCAAATTATATTGCTTGTTAAAAAGTTTTTTAATTGTTTAATCACTAGTTTATATTCAAATGGCGGTGGCGAATATTAGAGCTTTACAAAGACACTTTCTATCAATGGGAATTCAGCATCTCTTCTCAACACCACACGCCTCAAAGGGTGAGTGTTGCAGAAAGTAGTGCCATAGCCACCCTATACCAAGGATGGTCAAGCGTACACCGTTCGCCGAAAAATTATATTGTGTATATAAGTTGAATATTACTTTATATGGCTATATATTATATTTTAAACACCCTTAACACAGTTGAGTGAGTCCAACGCTCAGGGTGTTCAAAGTGACGTGTTGTTCACGGGTTTAAATTACAACTCATTTTATTTGCCAAAATAAACGGAGACCACCATATATGGTCTATTTGATTCTTTTTCACTATAGTTTTTTTTTAATAAAATAAATGTTAAAACTTAAAACTTGTGTAGAAATAAACAACTAATCTTAAAAGTAATCTTTTAACTAAAAGTTATTTCTTAAATAAATTTTATAAAGTTCTACAAAAATTTCTTCAACAAAAGCTCTCTACACAAAATCCCCTCGACTCTCTCTTTTCTTTGGTTTTATGCTTACTTTTATTAGTAAAATTTCTAATGCTGTGTAAAGTTTTTTTTATTGTTTAGCTAAATATTGCGTAGTTTGATCTTAAAACTTTGGTACACCATTCATCGACAAAAAATTATTGACTTGTTTAAAGTTTGAACACCCTTGACGAAATTCCTGGCTACGCAACTGGCAAAAAGACGTCATTGTCATATCATGGAAACGGCCTTAACCCTCATGCATGAAGCCTCAGTACCCCTAATTTACTGGCCTTATGCTTGCTCTACGGCCGTGTACCTAATCAATAGAATGATCACTCCCATCATGAAAGGAAAGTCATACGAGTCCCTTTTTCATACCTCACCACATTATAGTACACTTTGTACATTCGGCTATTTGTGCTATCCTTGGCTACGTCCCTATTCTAGTCATAATCCTGATCTTATGTCCAAGCCATGTGTTCTTTGGGTATTCCACAAAATTACCAGTGTTTTGATCCATCCACTTCCAAAGTTTTTTCTTATCTCGCTATGTTGTTTTTATAGAAAATAATTTTCCCTTCTCTACCATGTTTCTTCTCCTACCTCGGGTTTCCGAATCCACACTTCATTCTTCACCTGTACCTAATCAATAGAATGATCACTCCCATCATGAAAGGAAAGTCATACGAGTCCCTTTTTCATACCTCACCACATTATAGTACACTTTGTACATTCGGCTATTTGTGCTATCCTTGGCTACGTCCCTATTCTAGTCATAATCCTGATCTTATGTCCAAGTCATGTGTTCTTTGGGTATTCCACAAAATTACTAGTATTTTGATCCATCCACTTCCAAAGTTTTTTCTTATCTCGCTATGTTGTTTTTATAGAAAATAATTTTCCCTTCTCTACCATGTTTCTTCTCCTACCTCGGGTTTCCGAATCCACTCTTCATTCTTCACCTGTACCTAATCAATAGAATGATCACTCCCATCATGAAAGGAAAGTCATACGAGTCCCTTTTTCATACCTCACCACATTATAGTACACTTTGTACATTCGGCTATTTGTGCTATCCTTGGCTACGTCCCTATTCTAGTCATAATCTTGATCTTATGTCCAAGTCATGTGTTCTTTGGGTATTCCACAAAATTACCAGTGTTTTGATCCATCCACTTCCAAAGTTTTTTCTTATCTCGCTATGTTGTTTTTATAGAAAATAATTTTCCCTTCTCTACCATGTTTCTTCTCCTACCTCGGGTTTCCGAATCCACTCTTCATTCTTCACTTGATGTTATACCTATTGACCACACTCCACCCTCATCATCAAACACCACTACACCTATACCCACTCTTGATATCTCCCCAGTTCCCGTAATATCTACTCCCGTATCCATGCCATTGGATGTCATAATTTCACCACCCACTACTCCAGCTCCGCTCACTACAACAATATCAACAGTCTCATGTCCAACTGCTCCTATTTTGAAATTGAGCGAAGATGCCTCAAACTATTCTTTGCAACAGGTAAATAGTCCACTTCATCCGCCAGCTCATGTAGTCACTCGGTCCCAGCACAATATCTTCAAACTGAAGAAACCACTTAATTATTCAGCTCTCTTAGAATCAGCAGATCCTATTTGTTAGGATTTTGCCCTAAATTTCTAATCTATTAGGATTCCCTTTCTTGAAGGAAGGAAAAAAAACTCCTAGAAGGAATAAATCTCATTCATATGCATTATTCTTTTCTTGGAGAAGAAGTTTTGTACTTCTACAAATTGACGTTTTCTTCTCACAACAAGAACAACAACAATAGCATCCACAATGTAGTCATTAAAGAGTCTTGTTTAGGGGAGATTTTTCTCTCAATAGTTTTTATATTTTTATACTAGTTTGCATTGTTAGCTTCCGCATGCGTCATGTTATTTAGATCCCAACACTATTGTGGCTCCTCGCACATATACAGAAGTACGTAGTCCAGCATGGAAAGATCCAATGCATGAAGAAATTGATGCCCTTGTCCGCAACAAGACTTGGTCCCTCGTTCCTCCATCTGCAAACCGAAATATCATTGGCTACAAGTGGGTTTTCGGGTCAAACAAAAATCAGATGAAATCTAGATCGATTCAAAGGTTGGCTAGTTCCAAAAGGATTTCATCAGCCCTCTGGTATTGACTTCACCTCAACTTTCTGTCCAGTGGTAAAATCAACTACTATCCGTCTGATTCTCACTTTGGCCACATACTCCAAATGGTTTCTTTATCAACTTGATGTGAATAATGCATCTCTCCAAGGTAAACTAGAGGATGAGGTTTACATGGAGCAACCCCCTAGTTTTGTCAACTCTAAGTATCTTACTTATGTTTGCAAACACCATAAGGCAATTTATGTTCTTCGCCAAGTCCCTAGTGCATGTTACAATGAATTCAAGAAATTTATTTGCTCGAGTGGGTTTGTTGGTTCTAAGTCGGATACTTCACTTTTTACAATGCATGGTCTGACCTATGTTGTGTTTCTACTTCTCTATGTATATGATATTATATTGACAGGTTCTTCTGATGCAAACGTACTTGAAGTGAATACAGCTCTAGCAGCCCGGTTTTCTCTGAAAGATCTACAGCCTCTTAACTACTTTGTGTTAAGGTTTGTCATACATCTGCTGGTCTTCTCCTCTCGCAAAGAAAGTATATTGCTTATCTTCTTCATCGATTCAATATGCTTGATGGCAAAGGAGTAAATTCCACTTGCAGCATCGCTCCACTCACACTTGATGATGGCACTGCACCCACGGATCAAAAGCATTATCGTCAAGTTGTTGGTGCTCTTCAGTATCTTTCTATTACTCGTCCAGGTATATCCTTTGCAGTAAATCGCCTATCTCAGTTTATGCATCGTCCCACTCATTCACATTGGCAAGCTAGCAAGAGGGTTCTGTGCTATCTGAAAGCAACTGATTCTTATAGTCTGCTACTAGCACCTCATAAACCTCTCAATCTAGTAGCATTCTCTGACTCTGACTAGGGAGATGATCCAGATGGCTGGTGCTCCACCGGATCGAGCTTATATCGTGTTTCTTGGGGGTTTTCCATTTATATGGTCATCCAAGAAGCAACTACAGTAGCTCGTTCCTCTACTGAAGCCGAATATAAGGCGCTTGCAAATGCTGCAGGTGAAACCAATTGGATTGTTAATCTCCTGAAAGAACAACACTTCTCCATTTCAAACATTCCCATGGTCTGCTGTGACAAATTAGGTGCAACCTTTTGTCTCAAACCAAATCTTCCACAGTCGCATGAAGCATCTTGTTCGGGAGCAAGTCAGGGACAAAACACTTGTTGTACGACATGTTCCTTCTTTCTCACAACTTGCTGATTCTCTTACCAAAGTGGTGCCTACAACAGATTTTCGTTGTGATCGGTCCAAGATAGGCGTCGTTCCCTCACCGCGTATCTTGCAGGGGGCATAATAAGGAACCATAATCACCTGCAGATTCTTTTTCTCAACATTATTTTCTGCAATCTGTAATTCCCGATCTTCAGACAATTAGTGATCGGGAATTGCATTTTTCTTTTGTCAATTAGTGATTAGGATCTGTATTTGTCTTTTCTATCTTGAGCAGCTTTACGATAGTGTAATGGAATAGCATAACCGTTTTTATCAAACTCTTTACTAACCAGTTAATAACGGTAGAAATTTACCATTTGCTTTCTTCAGATGGAAATGAATAAAGTACTACACTTATACCTGCTGAAAAGATGAGACCGGGATCGAGAGCATGAGAGGGATTGACAAGGCCAGCACCAAAACCAAAAGGAGCAGAAGTGTATAAGGTGTAGAGATCAAATCCATGAGCCATAATGGGGTCCCCAAGATTGTCATAAGTGGTGGCTGTGGTTGACATTGCTGAAGCTACCATTGATGGTGTCCATGATGGATTATATTGCTTTATTAGTGCAGCTACTCCAGCAATATGAGGTGTTGCCATGCTTGTACCAGACAATAGGGCAAAATTATGTCCTGCATATATGATTATTAACTTTATACTAGAAGAGTAGTTATAAAAAAATTTAGCTAGAAACATATATATATATACCCGAAAGAATGGGATTTAAAACACTCATGGGACTCCAAGCTGCCCAAATTTGGTGTCCAGGAGCCAAAATATCAGGCTTGAGTACATCAGTAGGATTTTTACTTTGATCAATGTAATCAGGACCCCTTGATGAAAATCTGCTAACTATAGGAGCTCTACCCTTGTAAGAAGCAATTCTTCCTTCACTTATGGCTGCTCTACCACCATATCTTACCACAAAACCATTCTTGTCCCTTACAGTTACTCTTTCATAGTACTGCAATATATTCTGCAAATACAATAGATGAAGTTATATATATATATATATATATATATATTTGAAAATCTATTTGTTATTTAATTAGGTACAGACAGACAGACCTGGGTATCAATAGTTGTTGGTATCATAATGCCAGGAGTAGCGAAAGGAATAGGCTCCGCTATGAAATCTCCATAACTTGGATTTGCAACAAAAACAAATGCTTTGAATCGAAGAAGATTGGCAGTATGTATGATGCCCATAAGACTGGAATTCCCATTGTAGAAACCAGCTGAAAACGTGCAAATCACAACACTGTCTTGCACAACAAGAGGGTCAAATGCCTCTGGGTATTGGCATTCATCCGCATTGAAAATTCTTGGAAATGTGCTATTTTTTTTTACTGCATCCTTAGCCAAAACCAGCTTATACTGAATCAACCCACCTCCAAATGTTGGTCCTACAAAAATACATACTAGTTAATGTGAAAACATATTGTTTACAAGCCCTCAAACAAAAATCATACTTTTTCTCTTTAATCATCTTCGAATTATATATTCCAACGTTAAATAAGCTATCCCACTAATTTTTCTTTTTTAAGTATCAAGTACGTCGCTGAAGTGACCAAATATAGACTATCCAACTTTTTTAGAGCAATCACTATGTCTACAAGTAGAGGCATATTCCGTATTTGGAACATAAATATATGATCTTTAAAGTTCTTAATATTAAACTTGTACGAAATTATGAGTTAAAGAATCTCATATACGGTGTTGCAAAAACTAAATTTAATTGTACCCATAGTGAAGCACATAGGCTCCATCTGCCTTGTTGAAGTTTTCTCGAATTAGCCAGTCTCCTATTTCAATCCTAGTTTCTTCTTTTTCTTGCTGTAAAGGTGGCCGGGCCGGTATGTGGGATCTCACATCTATATATATAAAATCATAACATAACCCTAACTTTCTCTTCAAGTTCCTAGAAAATAGGCCTACACATATTACAACATTTATTTACCGTATTTGCTATATACGGTCAATACCCCTCCTCATGTTGTGTAATGATGATTTCGAATGCCCAAAAGTGTTCATACTATGATTTCCTAATGCCTTCGTAAAGATATCTGTCAACTGATCATGAGAAGGAACATAACTGGGATGTATACTGCTGGCGACTAGCTCATCTCTAACAAAATGGCAATCTACTTCAAGATGTTTGGTCCGTTCATGAAAGACTGGATTCCGGACTATATGCAATGCTGCTACGGTGTTGGTTGGGATACATCGACCAATATTTCTTTCTCATCTGATTTCAGTGTGATCTGAGGTTTAGTTCGTTAAAAATTATTTACGTTACCAACAGTAAAAATAAAAGAATAAACTGTAATTCGTGGAAACAACAAGTTTATAAAGACATCATCAAACTTAACCTGATCGGTCGCGGGGACAACTACTGACATAACCCTTGTTTATGCCCTAGCCTTAAAACATTACTCTCAGTAATGCCGTAATATATTTTAAAAAATAAAGCGATAAGCTAAAATCATTTTTCTCAATCACGTTTAATTAATAATCGTTCCAATGACTGCGTGAACATTTTACTAAACTTCGTTAGCGGTTAGCTTTTGCCTGGTGAAATTTTTGAATAAAATAATTCCTAAGAAATACGTTTATACTAGTTCGGAAATTATTTAAAAAGTTGTATTATTTTCGTAAAATGATTGAAATAACGAGTTACTTCGACAAAAATGCCATAAAAGTAATATAGACTTTTAAATAATAATTATGTAGCAAAACTAACCTGATAATCCTACACCCCCAATTTTGAGACCGTTACCAAGAATAAGAGTGGCAGGATAGGTTCTATCAATGTCACAAGCAGCAACACCTACAGCCCATGGACTATAAGAGATGACAGAGTAAGGAGAAGGACCCTGGTTCCCAGCTGCTTGAACAACAAACGTTCCAGCCTTGTGTGCAGCTAACATGAATATCTCAAACAGGCTCAAGAAAGTCAGTGTGCCTTCTGGTGGTTCATCTGGTCCTATTGACAGAGTCAAGATATCAACCCCATCTAATACTGCCTGCAAATTAATTTGTCAAACTGGGTCAACCTCTTGAAAATTTTAGAATTTGGTTGAATGAGAAATGCTAAAACGATATTAATTACTTCTTTCTAATAGTCGTGGTGTTCGAGTCAACTTGCACGCATTATACTAAAACAATAATTACTTATATAATAAGGGTGAAATTGCAAAGGAAAAATAACTACTCCCTCTGTCCCAAAAAAAGATGACACTTTTCGAACTTCGAGAGTCAAATGAGTAGTTCTTTGACCACGACTTTTTCATATACCTTTCAAATATTTTGAATCGTTAAATATTGTGATTCACAGTATAATTTATATAATATTTAAATTTTACATAAAAAAACATAAAGATTCTATGTCTAAATTCATCGCCAAATTTAAGAGGTTTGACTCTCAAGATCCGAAAAGTATCATTCTTTTTCGGACAGGAGGGAGTAATACTTCTAAAGGATTTTGAAAACCCAACCTCTTAAATTATGTATTTCTTTCCAAATAATGTTTTGAGCATGTGTATAAGTTGCTAATACTACTTATGACTTGTTGGTATTGTTTAGGTTGAGACTCGAGGTGTCAAAGCATGTTCCAAATCAGTTTTAAGTTAGAGGAATTACACCAGTAATTTTCTAGTGATCATGATCGACCGGATTGACTTGTACAATTGCAAAGGAGCTAGTAGTGATCGTGAAGAAGGATTCACAAATGCAGTTACGCTATTGTGAGGATTTATCCGCGATGTTCAAGCCCAATGGAGTCCGCAATTTCGGAAGAGATATTGCGATCACAAAGGGCTTTAGTATTTAACTAAGTTGCTCGGACACGGGTGCGGGTGTCCGACACGGGTGCGGATCTAGAGGTCGGATCTTTCGAGATGTAAATTCTAAGATTCAGGAATACGGATCCTAGTACGGATACGGGTGCGAGGATCCGGCTAAAAATAATTCAAAAAAATAAAAATATCTCTACTTTATGAGAAATTTTGTGGAATACTTAAGTATAGCTTGTAAAGTATGGATTTCTTTTTTATTCTTAAATTGTAGATAAGTAAATGATTGATTTCCTAGATAAGGTATGCTATTTTCTTCAACTTTACCCCAAGTTTGGTTTTAATTTCGGGAATCAAATTGTATCTCGCCTCAAATTTTTCCGTCCATCGTGGTAAAAGTACCCAAAATTGTTTGACCATATCCGGTATGGATCCCATACCCACACCCATACTAGTGCCGTGTCGACACGGGTGCGGCACCTAAACTGCCATGTCGGAGCAACTTAGGTATTTAAACCCTAGAAACGAATTGAAGAATCAATTTTGAGACTTCTGAGGCAAGGAACCCTCGGGTGGATTGATCATCCACATGAGTCACGGTTTACAATCGCCTCATATTCCAGTGTGCATCATGCTAGTGTACACGGAGGCCTATTGTAACAACTCGATAAGTCCGGGGTGGCGGTCAGGCCATTAAAGGCGGAGTCCTGCCAGGGAGAGGCCATCCGAGAAGTGGAGGTCAGATTGGTAGGGCTCAACCACGTTGCTATGCATTTTCAGCTAGAACTAAGGCGGAGTCGTCTGATGCGGTCATCACAGGTATTGTTCTAGTTTGCCATAAAGATGAATTAATTTTATTTGATCCGAGTTCCACTTATTCATATGTGTCATCCTATTTTTTTTCATATTTGGATATATCTCGTGATTCTTTGAGTGCCCCTGTTTATGTGTCTATGCTTGTTGGGGATTCTATTATGGTGGGCCGGGTCTATCGCTATTGTTTGATCACGATTGGGAGCTATAAGACTAGAGTTGACCTTCTATTACTTGATATGGTAGATTTTGATGAGATTTGGGACATGGATTAGTTGTCACCATATCATGCTATTTTGGATTGTCACGCCAAGACTGTGGCGATAGCCATGCTTATGTTGCCTTGATTGGAGTGGAGAGTGACTCTTGGTCAATCCACTAGCAGGCTCATGTCATATGTGAAGGCTCGGCGTATGGTCGAGAAGGGGTGTTTGGCGTATTTGGCTTATATCCGTGATTCTAGTGCGGAGTTTCCTTCCATGGATTCGGTTCCGGTTGTGCGTGAGCTCCCAGAGGTGTTTCCTACAGATTTCGGGGCATACCACCCGACAGAGATATCGACTTTTGCATTTTACTTGGTTCTGGGCACTCAGCCCATTTCTATTCCACCATACCGTATAGCCCCAATTGGGATTAAAAAAATTGAAGGAACAGTTGCAGGATTTCATTGATAAGGGATTCATTAGACCTAGTGTCTCGCCTTGGGGTGCACCGGTGTTGTTTGTGAAGAAGAAGGACGGATCGATGTGGATGTGCATAGATTATCGGCAGTTGAACAAGGTCACTATCAAGAACAAGTATCCGTTCCCGAAAATCTTGACCGGCTTCAGGGGGCCAAGGTGTTTTCCAAGATTGATTTGAGGTCTCGCTAGCATCAGGTAAAGATTATGGCATCGGATGTCCCAAGACCGCTTTTCGAACTCAGTATGGTCACTACGATTTCTTGGTGATGTCATTTGGCTTGACTAATGCCCCAGCAACCTTCATGGATTTGATGAATCGGGTGTTCAAGCCATATCTGGATTCCTTCGTGATTGTATTCATCGATAATATTTTGGTTTACTCATGCAGTCAAGAGGAGCATGAGCAGCACCTACGGATCGTACTTCAGACTTTGAAGGATCATCCGTTATATGCCATATTTTCGAAGTGCGAGTTCAAGTTGACACGGTTGCCTTTTTAGGGCATATCGTATCTTCTGAGGGCATCAAGGTGGATCCTAAGAAGATTGAGGCGGTTCAAAACTGGTCTAGACCTACTTTAGCTATAGAGATTCGGAGCTTCCTAGGTTTGGCGGGGTATTATCGCCGATTCATGAATGAATTTTCATCTATCTCAACCCCATTAACCAAGTTGACCCAGAAGGGTGTCCTTTTCAGATGGTCCGACGAGTGTGAGGTGAGCTTTCAGAAGCTCAAGAATGCATTGACTACAGCCCTAATATTGGTGTTGCCTACAAGATCGGAATCTAACATTGAGTATTGTGATGCATCACATATTGGGCTTGGCATGGTGTTGATGCAGGACGGTAGGGTGATTGCATACGCGTCTCGGCAGTTGAAGGTTCATGAGAAGAATTACCTTGTGCATGATTCAGACTTGGCAACCATTGTTCATGCGCTAAAGATTTGGAGGCATTATCTGTACGGTTTTCAATTTGAGGTCTATACCGACCATCGAAGTCTCCAACATATGTTCATTATAGCAGAAGGACCATAATTTGTGGCAACAGAGATGGTTAGAGTTGCTGAAAGACTATGATATTACCATATTATATCATCCGGGGAAGGACAATGTCGTGGACGATGCATCAAGTAGGAAGGTAGAGAGCATGGGCAGTTTGGCATATTTACCGGTAGTGGAGAGGCCACTAGCCATGGATGTTCAAAATTTGGCCAGTCAGTTCGTGAGGTTGGATGTTTCGGAGCCTAGCAGGGTTTTTGCTTGTGTCGTGGCACAGTCATCGTTGTTGGAGCGTATCAAGCCTCGCCAGTTTAATGATCCTCACTTGTTGGTGTTGAAATACACGGTGCAACGGGGTGGTGCTAAGGAGTTTGTGATTGGAGATGATGGTGTTATGAGGCCTCAAGGCCGGATTTGTATTCCAAATGTTGATGGGTTGAGAGAGTTGATCCTTGAGGAGGCTCATAGTTCTCGCTATTCCATTCATCCAGGTGTCACGAAGATGTACTGTGACTTGAAACAACAGTATTGGTGGCGGAGGATAAAGAGAGATATTATTGATTATGTCTCTCGATATTTGAATTGTCAACAGGTTAAGTATGAGCATCAGAAACCGGGTGGATTGACTGAGAGATTGGAGATACCGGAGTGAAAGTAGGAGCGCATCACTATGGATTTTTATTTTTTTGGTAGGCTTACCATGGACCTTGAGGAAATATGACGCAGTCTAGGTTATTATGGACCGATTAACTAAGTTTGCACACTTTTTTCCGGTGATGACTTCCTATTCTTTAGAGTTGTTGGCTCAGATTTACATTAGGGAGATTATTCGCTTGCACGGCGTGCCCATTTCCATCGTTTTTGACCGAGGCACGCAGTTCACATCGCATTATTGGAGAGTCGTATAGCATGAGTTGGGTACGCGAGTCAAGCTGAGTATCGTGTTTCATCTTCAAATGGATAGACAGTCCGAGTGCACAATTTAGATTTTGGAGGACATGTTGTGGGCATGTTCTATGGATTTCGGGGGTCAGTGGGACCAGTTTCTACCTCTAGCGGAGTTCGCCTATAACAACAGCTATCAGTCGAGCATCTAGATGGCTCCGTACGAGGCCTTATATGGGAGGCGATGTCTTTTGCCGATTGGATGGTTAAAGCCCGGTGAGGTTAGATTATTGGGTACTGATTTGGTCTGTGATGCTTTGGAAAAGTTTAAGGTGATCTAGGAGCAACTTCGTATAGCTCAGTCCAGGAAAAAGAGTTATGCATACCGGAAGGTTCGAGATGTGGCTTACATGTGGGCGAGAAGGTTCTTCTCCGAGTGTCGCTTATGAAATGCGTGAGTTGATTTGGGAAGAAGGGCAAGTTGAGCCTGAGGTTTATTGGACCGTTTGAGATCTTGGAGAGAGTTGGGAAGGTTGCTTATAGGCTTGCATAGCCTTCTAACCTAGCAGAGGTACATCCGGTATTTCACGTTTCTTGCTTCGGAAGTACCATGAGAATAGGTCAAAGTTTTAGACTTCAGCATGGTACAGCTTGATGAGAACTTACCTATGAGGAAGAGCCGGTGGCTATTCTAGACCGACAAGTTCGAAAGTTGAGATCCAAGAGCTTTCCTTATGTGGAAGTGCAATAGGGAGGTCAACCGATTGAGGAGGCTACGTGGGAGTCCAATTCCGATATAAGGAGTAGATATCCACATATTTTTACTAGTCCAGGTACATTTCTATGTCCGT